AGCTCCATTTACCTGTTCATACTGAAGCTGAGGGACGGTACCGTCCTGGTTCAATCCTAAGTCAAGGAACTCGTCCAGGAACATTGAGTTCCGTACTCCAGATTTATCTATCTCAACCTCTCTAACATTAATAAATCAATCAATGGTATTTCATCTTAAAGTCATCCCAGTTCGGGTGATTAAAATCACCAACGGGGTTAGGCACACTATGTGCGCAAGTGCTAATACATATCTTGGAAATCCAGTGCTAATAAACATCTTGCTTCATCTGCACATGAAGAAAGCTGCTCAGATGTTTGCAGTTTCAAATGGTTGAATACAAGATTTATGAAAATATATCAAATATCCTTGTTGAGAATGATAATATTTTGATAATTCTTAAGAAACTACTTTTTATTTTTAATTCAAGGTAAACTAATAGCCCTGAAATATGCAGGGCAGTAATTTATATATTAAACTCGTTATTTTCGCGGCATTTGATCTTGAATAGGTTGAGAATACGACATTATTAAAACTCTTGAGTTGTATCCATATGGGATTGGCTGTACATCAATAAAGTTATAAATAAAGCGATATGACGGTCATCTTTTTTAAAATCCTTATTATAATTGTAGATTAAGTTTGTGTAATTTATAATGTTATGGCCATACAAATCAACATTTTAGTTAAAATTCATATTACAGCGTTTCTATTTTCTAATTAAAAGATATAAAAAAGATCTATTTCATTCCGTCATTTACTTGTTATGATTAACATTAACTTTGAAAAAGATCTATCTATCTTCACCTAACTTGGAAAAGTATAATGCTATTTTTAAGAAGGATGTTCCTTATTATTAATACCTGTGAACGAATGGAATGATGACGACCTTTTCAACCTGTTTGAGCTGGTTTATGACCTGGGTCAGTTTACCAAGATGATCATGGGTCTTCATGTTGTAGGATACAGCCTCTACACTGAATACAACCTTAAAAAACAAATATCGTAATATTTTCCTCAACTCAAAAATTGATACTGGGAAGAGGTCATTATTATTTGAGTACTCTCGAACTACCCATACTACCCCAACTACCGTCTGTTTTTAGAGAGACCCCATCCTCACTCTTTGATTATTCTTTGTGCATGGTATACAATACATGGGTATCGATTCTCATTAAATCAATTGTTTTAAGCTTGTTTCTGGGATTCATAACACCCTCCGACCTTTACTATCCTCACCACCCACATTCTAAAGAGTGCAAACTTCGTAGTCGAAAAAAAGGCATTTTATACATACACTGAGGGTCTCCGCTGCAAAGTCTCCAATGAAAATATGAGGGTCTCCACTGACAAGTTTGGGGTCTCCGAAAAAAAGTTGAGGGTTTTCAATGAAGGCTAAGAGTCTCCACTGAAAATCTGAGGGTCTCCAATATAAAACTTGGATTCTCCAATTAAAATCTGGATTCTTAGGGTTTCTGCTATAAGAGCTTGGAGTCTTTGATAGAAACCTGGAAGTCCTGTTAACAAGCTTGGAGACTTAAATAAAAATCTAAAAGTCTTGAGCCTCGGCTAAAAAACTTGGGAGTCTCCAATTTAAAGTTGGGGGTCTTTGATGCAAAGTTTGAGGTAGCCAATGAAATTCTTGAGGAGGCGTTAGGGTAAGAGATAAAATGTATTGAAATAAATAGATTCATTTTAAGCAGTTAAATATTCAGAATCAAGTCAGATCCATCCTTCCATCCTTCCATCCTTCCATCTATCCACCTATTTTTGAAAAAAAAACGCTATTCCAAGATTGACATTTACGGACAAGAGAAAGTTAATTTAGTGCCACAAAGATTAACTTTANATTGTTTGAAAATTGACTTTCTATTCAATTGAGCCCTATAATGTATTAAGGAAAATAGCTTTGCAAATACGACCATAGCAATGACTTAACGGTTTTATTTTTAGAAAATTTAACTATGTTCAAAATGGATTATTAAGAAAAAAATACCTGAGTAAGTTTTCAGCATAGTTTAATCTCGAACCTGGAAACCATTGTGGGATCTTTTCCATCCCAATATTCTAGAGTAAATTTATTTCATTATCATTTTTTATTTTTTTAAATTCATATATTTCTCTAATTTTTACAAATCAAATCGGATGATTGACTGTAGTAGTATTCGGTAAAAACTAAAAATGAGTTAACAAAATGTGAAAATTTCATTAAGATGCACAGTTAACTTTTAAGAAAGTTCAAAATAAAGAGAAATACATCTTAAAATGATCAAAAATGTGAAAGATACCGCGTTTTTTGGCTCAAAAAGGGTTCCATTCTGCTAATTTTTCATTGTTTCTTATTAGCAATAAGTAATCAAGTCACTTTTGCAGAAAACCCACAAATGAAAATAAACAAAAACATGATTATCTAATTAATGCTTGATCAGACAAAGCTTTTAAGGATAACTTTGTAAATCGGGCATTGCAATCTTTGCATGGAGGGTCACTTGAAGTTAAAAACAATTGCTTTCAAGGTTTGACATCACCAATAGAACCTATGCAGTATGCACTTTCGATTTGTTGACTTTTACTTTAAGCTGTGTCACAGTTGTCCTCATTAGCGACCAAACAATTTAAAGACTGATGAGTGATGGTCAAGTCACGGGCAACGCAAGGTGTTTTTGCTAGTTTTACTTTTATTGAAGAAATGTATATTCTGCAGGAAACTTTTTTGTTTCAAATTAATAACCAAGTCCACTCCATTTTAATATGGCGAAACATTTATTCAATATTTTACCTTGTCAATCACTGTGCTACCTTTAACAGAACTAATTACACCTAATAATAAAAAACACATTTTTAATCTTAATTTTCTAAAATCTAAGTTTCACCGCTCTTTCTTGCCTTTAAACTGTTATGCTATAGTATAAAACACTAAAAATTTTAATTTTGGATTTCTCTGCTAGCTTATAATTTTAAATTTCATAAAAAAATCGTCATTTTTTCCCCGAAAAAAAGGCATACCTTATCAGACCAGCCGTTTTGACATTTAAAGGAAACGAACAAAGAAAGCAAGGGACGAGCCATATATATATAAATAAGATTTACTATTCTCTTTCTGGTAATGAGTTTAGACCTCTTAGAAAAAAACAGATATTGCACATTCTGCTCAATTCTTGAGGTTTAAAGCAAGATTAATATAAAAAATGTTTGACCTGGGAAGCGTATAGAATGATGTTAGGCGCAGGGTCTAAAAGAAATCTCAAACTAACCTTTTCAAACTGTAAAAAGGTTTAAATGTCGTCCTCCTTCAATTCTAAACATTTCATCATTTGAACTCCTCTAGACCTCTTTGGGCGACCTCCTTGGATACTAAAAGAACACTGATGCATCTATTCTTGTTTACAAATTCCGCCCAAAGAGAACTGGTTTCAATATGTACGCAGAGTATACACGACCGCAATAAACTTTCCTTGCATTACACCCTTGATTTTAGTAAACTTCGTAATATTGACCAACCTCCCACTGATATGCAATGTGGTAATTCATGAAAACTATAAGCTAAGTAAACAATAAAACCAAGTTTGGGTTTTGGGGGGTTATATTCTTGTCATTAACCCAAAGGAACGTTTTTTTTAACGTTAACTTTGCAAGTATTCTATCATTTATCTGTTAATTAATTATCTTATTATATAACTTTATCAATTATATGTTTAAACATCATATTACGCAATTCTAATAATTGTACCTCAACATTGTGAGGTCTCCACATAAGCTGAGAATCCATATCAACTACATCAGCTCCTTCTCCATCCCCTAGATCATACAGTGAGAACCAGAAAACAATGGAACTATCGTCATTTTCTATTTTCTTTTAATTAGAAAACTGTTTCGATTTTTTTTGTAATTTACAACTGAGGTATTTATAAAAAGACGGCTCTGAAACTTTGAAGAGATTTATCAGTTGCAACATTTGAATATCACACAATTATTAGTGAATTTCTTAAGTAAAATGTTTTGCAAAGTTCTTTATTCCAAGTTTATTGGTTCTCACTAATTGTAATCATATTCAGAAAAAAAGAATGAATGTTATAATTGTGATCATGTCCGGGATTAAAGGGATTGACTGCTATAAATATGATCGTATCTTGGACTAAAGGATCTACTACTATAATCGAGATCACTTATGGGATTTAATTGTGATGATTTCTGGGATTAAAGGGATTAACAGCTATGATTATGATCATATCTTGGAATAAAGGATTTACTACTATAATTAAGATCTAATTTATGGGATTGACTTCTGCAATAGCGATCATATCTGAGATTAAAGAAATTACAACTATACTTGTGATTATATCTGAAATTAAAGGGATTGACTGCTATAGTTGTGATCATATCTTGGATTAATTGATATACTACTAAAATTTTGATCATATGTGGGATTTAAGGGATTGACTGTACAATAGCGATCATATTTAATTAAAAAGATTAAAGAATTGACTGCTATTATTGTGATCAAATCTGGGATTAAAGGGATTTAATGATATAATTATAGCGACTATTTAAGGGACTGACAGCTACAATTGTGATCATTTCTGTAGAGATTAAGGGGTTAACTATAGGCTAAAATTGAGATAATTGTGTTCAAGTCTGGGATTACAGGGATTGGTTACAATGTTTGTGATCACATCTTGAAATTAAAACGCTGACCTAGATTTAGCTTGGCTTTCACGTCACTCATTGTAAATTACTAAAACTTCTAGATCTGAAATAAACTAAAATATTAAATACAGTTTCAAACAGTTATTTAAATATTTTACGACAACTATTTTGTTTTGTGAATTGGTGCAATTATAGTTAGATTCGTAAATGCTACACCTGTAAAATGATCCTTGAGGATCACTTTCTATCCTTGTTTAAATCTTGTTTTCCCCTTTAGAGAAAATACATTTTTCCTTGTTTCTTGATGATTTCATGATTTATGACGAGATCCTAGAGGATTACTGGCCGGGATCCTTCTGTCTAATTATTCCACAAACATGATGGGGGGTGAGGAGGTCTCTGTCCTCGTAGTCTGTCCTCCGCCCTGTCTCCGCCTTGCAGAGAAAGTAAAACTCCTGCCTGGGGCGAGAATTTGGATACTACTAGGTTGCGGTTAATGATTGTATTTAATAATACTGTAAATAAAAATCATTGTTGCTCATTTTTTTTTAATTGCAAACACTAAATTTTCTCCCCAATGGCATGAATCCCGCCTTCTTTTCCCTTTTCATTGTCGTCTTTGTCTTCAGACCATCTGCTACTCTCCCATCTGTCTCTACTTCCTGCCCTGCTTCCTGGTCTACTTACTGACCTACTTCCTGACCTATTTCTTGACCTACTTTCTACTGTGTATTGTCAACTAATAAGTTATTAATTTTGATACTCCCTTTCCGTTCTATCTTTTCCACAGACGCTGCCCTGGTTCTGGTTGATGCTCTGCTCTCCCTTAATGTACTCCTTCTCCTTGTTGACGGAGGGCCCATTAGTTGACGAGTTTACTGCCATGCTTTGCTGAAAGCGGATATCATAGTTTACATGATTGAGAACCCTGATTTCATTAATATTTTGGGCACTCCTGGATGTGTCTTGGTCCTCGGTGTCCCCGGTCCTGGAAAAGAATCAAACTTTTCTACTGTCTTGGTTATTCTTCCCGATCTTCTGTTTCCTGACCCTGATGAACCTGTTGTTGTTATCAATGTTGTCTCTTCTGTAATCCTTAATTCTGGTATTGATTTTTTTAGTCTCTCAGGTTTGATTCACAACAGACTCCTTGGTTGGATTCACATCAGGCTCCTAGATTGGTTTCAACATTTTTGAGTGTACAATAATGGCAAAGTCTCATTGTGAAATATATAGCTGCAAGTTCTTAGGTTCGGTGATTTTTCGCGAATTCAGATTAAGGGTTGAATGATATTACATTTATATTAAATTTTTCATTAGAACAATATTAACTAAATAAGCAGGGGCGGATAGAGGGGGCAGCA